GAAAACCGAGTTCGGGAACGCTTTCTGGAAAATTCCTGTAAATTCTTGCAACTTCATGCGAGTTAGGGAACGCAACTAAGAATTTTACTAGCAGAAATTAGCGGGAGAGCCAAAAAAATTAGAGCATAAGAACGTGAGAGAGCTGCTAGTTTCTGCTAGTTTTTTGGGGTAAAAAACGCTTTCGAGCACAAATTAGTGATAATTTGTGGTAATTATCTGTTGAGAAACAAAGCTTTTATTTTTATCTGCTTCGTACTGTACACGACCTAAGCAAACCAGGAAACGTACGGTACGGTGCAAAAGTAGTGATAATTCCGAAAATTAGTAGAATAACACATTTAAATCAGATAAAATTAAATTAATTGTAATTAATGAGCACCTCAGCATTTTTTACTCCACCGGAGGAGGTAATAGAGCGGCAAGCGGAATTAGATCAGGTCGAAGTTACCCCTCCCCTGGATCAGGTTTGGAATGGTACTCTATTAAAAATTTGTTGGGGATGGATACGACAAAATGGTTATAAACGGGTAATTTTTCTCAATTTTTGATGATTAATAAAAAGGAAATAATTGTAAGCTAATCATTAGGTTTGCCTTCAATTTCCCGATCATTATTTGCCGCACAGCAATGAAATTAGTGACACGCTGAAGTCACTGTTCATTCCGGAGGGAGGGTCGACAGACATTAAATTCTTTGTACTTGCCGACACTTCCTATGGAAGCTGTTGTGTAGATGAGGTAAATTTTGCGTAAGATGACAAGATTTAAATCAAAGCTGGTCAAATTTAGATCGCCGCCGGACATGTTGAAGCAGACAGCTTAATACATTTCGGCAGCGCTTGCCGTAGCAGAGTTTCTGGTCTGCCCGTGCTGTACATGTATCCACAGTATCCGTTTAACTTGAAAACATTTATGGATAAATTGTCAGTAATAGCAGATACCGTCAGAGGTAAAATTGTATTCACATACCTTGATATAGGCTATCATCATTTGTTGGATAAACGCGTAGACGAAGCTGAAGAAGATTCATTGGGCTGTAAGCATAATATATTCTTGTTTGGTAATTTCGCAAGTATTGAAAAATTGTGATCGTTTATATACACAGACAAATTAAAGGAGATACTACCTTGTAAAGACTTATTTGTCGAAGCCTATCCGCCCGCAGAGGATGCTGTGGTTGACGAAAAAGAACCTAGTGAGCCAATCTGCATTTTCATTGGAGCAGAAAACTCTAGATTCTCCAATTTATCTATCACAACACAGGGTACTTATTATAGTTTAGAAAAAATACTTACAAATAATTACGGATTTTCTTTGTCATAGCTTCCCAATGGTTTATCTACGAACCAACAAGTAATAATTTGTTCGAAAAGAATCCACTAACCGCTCAATACATTCGGCGCCGATATTATTATATTGAAAAATGTAAAGATGCTCAAACATTAGGCCTAATTGTCGCAACTCTTACAGCCGAAGGTTATTTAAAAATTGTTTCACGTTTGCAAGAAATGGCAAAAGCTAGAGACAAAAAGACTCAAATTATATCCGTGGGTCGTATAAACCCCGCCAAATTGGCAAACTTTTTGGAGATTGACTGCTTTGTGCTTATAGGGTGCCCTTTCAATAACCTTTACAACTCAAAAGAATATTATAAACCTATTGTTTCGGTATTCGAAGCTGAAATGGCACTTAATCCAGCTTGGCATATGAAATATCCGGAAGCATATGTTACTGATTTCAAAAAGTTACTTCCAGAAGGAGAAAAATTTTTGGCTTTTAATTCTTCAGACGTGCAGGAGCAAGATATTAGTTTAGTAAGTGGACGAGTTCGTGGCCACAATGTGGAAGATGATCTTGCAGAAGAGGGAGCTGCTGCATTGAGTGAACAACAACAGGCTGTTGCTGGGAGAGGTAAAATGGAAGTGATGACCAACAACACTGGCCTCACATTTGAGGATCGAACTTGGAAAGGGTTGGATCCAGCACTGGGCTGTGCAGAGCCAGCTAAATTGGAAAAGGGCCTCAGCGGCATACCCACTAATTATAGGCATGAATAGTTTAATTATACAACGAAGATTACATTCAAGATAATATTTAGTGTTCATGTGCTTGTTCTTAATGGTCTTTAAGTTAAAATAACGGGTATCAATAAATTATATTATTAAATTAATTCTATTTAATGGTCGAAACTTGATTATGCAACGATAATACATTTTCCAATCTTGATAATTGTACATTTCAAAAAATGTTATAAACACCAGGCTTTAAACGGCCGTTAAGCTTTGGTTATTATCATCATATTATTTTATTTTAGTTTTTCTCCATTTACACTATATTAGTCGGAAGTAATTTATCGTCTTCACAACTAAATTAGACTCTCAACCAGTACATCGATGAGCGAATCCTGTTATATTCTGGCAGGTTTTCGACTGGTCCAACAGCAGCTACAGCCGGGCATCTGTCATAAATATATTTCATGCCCACATCGCGTACATTGCTGACAGATACAGCGTCAATGCGTTGCTCTAATTCGTGCAGTGGAATACGACGATTGTAGCAGAGAATTTGACGACCAATGTCCTCGCAAATGGGAGTGGTTCCATCAAGCTGTAGCAACATGTTGGTCTTCAACAAATTCTTGGCTCGCTCGACTTCAGCCTCGGTCACCATTGTGCATAGACGCATCCATTCGGTTTGTACATTGAAAAGCATGTCCTGCCCATAAAAATTTGATTAATACAAAATCTGTTCAATTTAAAACTAAAATACCTCGCACTGCAGAGGATCACAAACAAAATAGATGCCCCACAAACCGGTATCCTTGTAGCATGTGTTGAATGACTGGAAGCTGTGGCACAAGTCTAAAAATTATTTCAGAATTAATTGTTGAAAAATAATCGACATTCGAGCAACGTACTATCCTCAGCACTGGCACGTGCCAAGTTGGAAGCGTTGTTTACGCCGCCACCTTGAGAGCGATCCCAGGCGCCAATGAGGGTATTTGCAACCATCAAGGGGATGTTGTCCTGATCAGTCCAGCCGCAACCTTCTACAGCAATGGCAACATGTGCAAGTGGCAAAGAATCGTCACGTACGCGTACTTCTGAACCGGTAAAGCGACATGGTGTGACTACAGGTGGTTTACCATCATAAGTGTTTTCCAAGCCTTTAAGGTTTCCTTCGGCCAACTTCACTAGCTCATCATGTTTAACACCACCAGCACCAGCAAGCACAATACGCGAGGCCTTGTAATGAGTCGAGATATAATCGGTGAGATCTTGTTTACCAATGCACCTTAACAAAAAAAAAATTATATATTTTTTTAATTTACAAAAAGTTTTATGGATATATGTATACTTGTAAATTTTCTTACTTTATGTTTTTTGTGGGTCCCAGAATAGTTTGTCCCAAAGGGGTGCCTTGGTAGGCGGTGGCGTGCAAGTGGTCGAACACAACTTCTTGCAAATTGCTCTCCACTTCTTGCATCTCACGCAAAATTACTGACCGTTCCCGTTCGATTTCGGCCTCGCCCAACTTGGAATTTTGAATAATATCAGCCAAAATCTCAACAGCTTTTGGTACATCTTTCGATAGACATTTAGCATAGAAGACGGTCTGCTCCCGAGAGGTATAAGCATTCAAGTGTGCGCCCAAATTCTCAACCTCCAATTCCAAATCGGTCTGAGAACGCTTTGCGGTACCCTGTATAGAACAAATATTTATATTAATTTGCATAGTTTGTTATATATGAATCTAACCTTGAAAGCCATATGTTCTAAAAAGTGTGCAACACCATTGTTCTTTTCGGTTTCCGAGCGGGAACCAGCATCGATCCAAAGGCCCACGGTAGCAGTTGCTGCACCGGAATCTTCGCTTGCCACTCGCAGGCCATTATCCAATCGAGTTACCTGAGTGGCTGGAATATTTACGAGGGTCTTCTTAAGACTGGCAGTTGCCTTATAGCGCTATCAAAAAAAAAAAACAGATTTACAAACAACTGGAACATATACCTTGTGCTCATAACCTCTAACTCACTGGAGTACGAAATTTATTAAGATATTTCAGTTTAAATATTGGCGTAAAATTAGAACCGTGGATATTTTTAATTTAATTTATGGAAGATAAATGAGTTTAGTAATAGCAATTGTGCCGTACTTCAGTTTTTCACATTACGTAACGAAAAATAATTCGGTGTGTTGTAATTACCAACCCCCTTCTTCGGAAGACCCAATTATTACCAATTGTAACTTACTTTTAAAATCTCAGCTCCTTTGGTAAGCTGGCGTAAATTTTGGGAAACAGAGAGCACTCGTAACGCCATCGTTTCAATTTGTTTCTTAAAGAATTTGCTTAAAATAAATTAAACAATTCACCCTCAACGATCTTTCACGAACCAGACAGGTAATTGGGAGTTTAAGTTGGCTGCGGTTTGTTACTTTTGAAGATGTCAATGAATGTCAAAATCCGGTACGTTCAGTGACACTAACCTTTCGTTTCCTTTCCTTCTTTTTTCAACGTTCTTTTTCTGTTCTGCCGTCAGCAGTGTTGCCATTGCCTTCGCCCTCAAAATGACCATAAAAAATCGAAAACTGATATGTATCAAAACGGCAACACATGAACGAAAGACACAAGATCACATAAGAACAAGAAAGTGAAAAAAGTCGATTTTTTTTAGCGGGTTCTACGCCATCTTGTTTCACTGGAAAACGAGCGAAAAGTAAACAAAGCAAAGAAAACAACGAAAACCAAAATTTGCCAAATTTATTGTCAGCCACTTTAAATGCACAATTTAGGTAAAATGATGCAACAAAATGCTTTAAAATGTGTTGTCATGTTTGAATTAACTCTTCTTTACTTGAATAAAAGTGTAAAATAGTGGTGCTTGTGATGTAAACAAACGCACAGCTGACGAACCCGCTTTCGCAAACTTTTTTCTCAAAACAAGTTACAAATACAACGTCGCGTTCTTACGTGATCTTGTATTTTTGGTTCATGACGGCAACACGGCCGTCAGTTTCTAGATGACAGCTGACAACAAAACAAAATTGACGTTTTGAGACAAGGATTCGCAAAGATTAAATTTTCGAGGTTGTCTGTAAGTCTGAGGTAAATACTTATTTGTATTCTCGTATTTAGGAAAGCAACTAGTAAATTGTCATTTAGAATATCGGGAACGGCTGGCTTAATTTATCATATAAACTTTTGTCATATTGCTCTGGTTGGGAGTGTTTGCATTTTCCTAAAATGGCCGGAAACTTTTGGCAAAGTTCCCACTCCCAACAATGGATCCTGGATCGCCAAGACCTCATACGCGAAAGACAATATGATCTACAAGTACTAAGCGAAGATGAGTATCAGAAGATTTTTATTTTCTTTGCCAACGTTATTCAAGTGCTTGGCGAGCAATTGAAACTTCGTCAGCAGGTCATCGCTACTGCTACTGTCTACTTTAAACGTTTCTATGCACGGAATTCGCTCAAGCACATCGATCCACTACTTTTGGCACCCACCTGCATATTGCTAGCGTCTAAAGTGGAGGAGTTCGGTGTGATTTCTAATTCGCGTTTAATCACTATCTGTCAATCGGTGATTAAATCGAAATTCAGCTATGCCTACACACAGGAATTTCCTTATCGCACCAATCATGTTTTGGAATGTGAATTCTATTTACTTGAAAATTTAGATTGTTGTTTAATCGTTTATCAGCCATATCGACCACTGTTGCAGCTTGTGCAGGACATGGGGCAAGAGGAGCAATTGTTAACGTTGAGCTGGCGCATAGTTAACGATTCACTGCGCACCGATGTATGTTTGTTGTATCCACCTTATCAGGTAAGTTTTTATACAAATTGCAAAAATTTAACACAAATCAATTGGATGCATTTCAGATTGCAATTGCTTGCCTACAAATCGCTTGTGTAATTCTGCAGAAAGATTCCATGAAAACCTGGTTCGCCGAATTGAATGTAGACCTCGACAAAGTGCAAGAAATTGTGCGTGCAATTGTAAATCTTTATGAACTTTGGAAAGACTGGAAAGAAAAAGATGAAATTCAAATGCTTTTGAGTAAAATACCAAAGCCGAAACCAGCGCCTCAGCGATAATTATAATGTGACAATATAGGACTTGCGCTGCTCTAAAAAATATACATAAAAGTATTTGTACTATTGTAAGTTACAATTGGAGGTCTTTTAAATTAATTTATTCTAAAAAATATTTTTACATGGCAACCAAACTTTAATGAACTAAAGATATTTAGTTTTGCCACTTGAAAACTTAGTATTTAGTATTTTTGCTTTATCAACTATTTGTTTCGTTTGATTACTATCGATTTTGTTTAATTTTAAATCCACGTCACGGCTGAACGGGCGACGTTCGGGTTTAGCGCCAGCAGCAGCTAATTCCTTTTCCTGTAAACAATGAGAATATGTTTTCAAAAAATATTCTAATTGCAATTCTAAACTTACTCTTTTTTTTTGTTCCTTTCTCAACTTCCTCTGATGAATATCTACTAAAGATTCATCTCGTTTGTGTTTCTTTTTGTGCTTCTTAGCAAGTTGTTCTTGTTCCTCGTCGCGTTGCCGTTCATAAGCAGCCTCAGCACTTCGCTTTAATGCCTCAGCCGATGTGGTACCTTTAGATGTGCAAGGAGTTGGATTCTCTGCATCCTGAGGTGTTTTTGTCCAAGATGAGCTATATTGTGTTAAATTTATTGTAAATAAATTAGAAAAAAATTAAAATTCGCATACCGGTCACTAAAGTCCGGCCTTTCTTTGCCCTGATGAAATGTTCGCTTCATGTTCGAAAGCGCTGCAAGTCCTCCTTTTAATCCTACAGCAGGCAGTTCAAGCATCCATTCTTCACGTACTTTTGCGTCCGTCGTTTGTCCTGCACCTTCAATAGCAGCCAATTTTAATTCTAACGCACGCTGTTCTAACTCGATTTGTGTTGCGCTCATTTTTACCATTCCTTCAGCATCAACGGAAACTGGCATGGGACCATAGCAAAAATCCGTGGCGTCAACTTCTCTGTCATTATCTTTGTCATTGGGTTCACAAGGTTCAGTTGCCTTCATACTACCCTCTGTTGTGTGCAAAAGTTCACGAGGAAACTCAGGGCCTATTAAAGTTTTGTTGATGCTAAGAGCATCCTTGAGCAAATGTGGTGGGAGCGCTGGGCCGAATGCGTCATTAATTTGTGCAACTTCCGTACTTTCGTTGCCATGCTTTGCCAAAATGGCTTCGGCCTCCACACGGTGTTTCTTTTGGCTGTCCCGCTTCTTGTCCCTGTGGCGTTTCTTTTCCTTATTTTTATGCTTCTTTTTGTCAGTTTTGCGTTTTAGCTTCTTGCTTTTCTTATGCTTTTTATATTTCTGTGGTGATGTGGAAGCGGATGTGTCTGTGTCACTGCTCATTTTGTGCAATCTGTTTAATTGAAGTATTTGGTAGGCTGAAGAACAAAAGAAAGTATCAGTAAAACTGCATCGGTGTGGTAGGATTCACATTCTGTTCACTTTATTGCACTAAATACTTACGAATGTTAAAAATAGATAATAAAACTATTATTTACAATATTACATAGCCCACAATTTTTCCAATAGTAAAACTCTATAAGCAATTTTGGCATTAAATACATTTAAACTGCAGTGTAACTCCCCTTTGTGAAGTAAGTATATAATCTTCAGCGAAATTAATTTGTGTGTTAATCAAATGAGCAGCAAAAGTAAAATATACCAACAAATGCCATCAAAATCCGTATTTTTTTCAGTAGCGAAGGCATAATAATTCACTGAATCATTCTTCCACAATTATGAAAAGGTTTTAAGCGCCTTTTTATAGCTATAAACTAATGATTTGAACAATCCTGCGCTGGCTATGTTTTTTATCGACTGCGTTATGCTGCTGCGCCATACTATATCATTCACTGAAGTTTGCACAAGTTCGAGAAGATTGTGAGCATCTGCTAAGTGTGGAACAATTTTCATGTAATCACCCTTAAAGGCGGAATTTTGCACAAGACGCTTTTGTAGTTCATTGGGTGCGTTGCGTAGGTGATACATTTTAGCCAGCGACGACTTGTCCTGTTCGAACTGTATAATTTTTTTGCCGGTCCCGATTTCTGAGCCATTGAAATCTGCTGCAACGTAATTGGTAAATTTTTGCAATGCGGGAGAGTAGAGTTCTAAGAAATCTTTCTCCTGTGCCAATACTATATTCCGAACCTTTTGCTTATTCTCGCCAAATATCATTCGAAAATCACCCTTGTAACTTAGACTGGAAATTGTATGAAAGAGTTGGTAAGATGTGAAACGCTCTGGTAGCAGTAGAAGTGCTACTTGAAATGCGCTGTATAAATTCATCATTAAAGCCTCTTTTAATTGGTCGTCGCCATTCGTGGGTACCAACTCGCAGATGGGTTTTTGGAGCCGGCCAGCAAGATACAAATACCGCCAATTCAACAAGTCATCCAGCAAGTGTTCACGTGAAACGACCCCGTATTTTATAGTTACTTGAATATCGTCCAAGGGCACCAATGTATTGAAGTATACACGGGCGCCCAGATGCTCTTGGTATTTCATAATGAAACGCGGACCCATTAGGCGGAGCAAAGAATAGTGGCTTTCCTGACGATCGATATTCTCAGCATGCCAACCAAGGGGATCACGCACACAGAATATTAGGTCAATGACATTGTTCTTCTGTTGAGCAACTTCTTCATAACCAATTTGCTTTTTCACACCACTACCATAGGCAAATACATAGGAAAGACCGCCACGAGGGAAATGCGCCAATATATCTTTGAAAATACCCATGCCAGAAAATTATCAATATATTTACTTCTACTTTTATTGATGTCAGGCCTTTCATTAATTTAATTTACACATTTGTATGTGTATTCTCACAAAATCGACTCCATTGAATTATCCTTCGCCCTTCAGTTTTTAAGGGATAAACTAGAAAAAGAAGAAGCATCTCATCAGCTGTATGTGAGTGTAGCCGTTCTGGCCAAAAAAATTACCTTGATTAATAAAAGTTGCGTTCGCGTAGCTGTTAATTGTTCATGTTTAACCACAACTTAGGCTATCTGCACACTTGTCGTCCAATCATAGTTGCGTTATCGTCTCGCCCTAAAATTTTGAGCCGAGCACATGCATTTCAAAGGNATTATTGAATCATGGCCCTTCAGTTTTTAGGGGATAAACTAGAAAAAGAAGAAGCATCTCATCAGCTGTATGTGAGTGTAGCCGTTCTGGGCAAAAAAAAAAATTACCTTGATTAATAAAAGTTGCGTTCGAGTAGCTGTTAATTGTTCACAACTTACAGGTTTTTGCGTTCGAGTACGCAAAAAAATTGCAAAATAGGGGAAATTGAGAGAGCAAAGTGAAATTTCATTTTGAGGGGAAGCTGCTGGTTTCTGCTGGATAAATTTTTGCCAACAGCAATTCGCAATAATTAAGCTTGTAAGAAATAAGTAGTTATTTGTTTAATCAATAAACTGTGTCATATAACACTTTGTGATGACTTTTCGTACGTTTTAAATTTTACACTTTTGAATGTAAACAAAAATTATATCAGCTGTTCATCTAACTAGCAAGTTTCTGCAAATTTTCTGTTCGCGTACTATTTTGGATATTTTCCTCTTGTAAGAGAACAGATGACATTTCGCCAGAATTTGGCAGTTGGATGTTTTTTGGGCGTGTGTGAATAGGTAACAAAGTTTGCGGCAAGTAAATTTTTGACAACTATGAGGTGAATAAAATTTCAGTAGCTCATGAGCAGAGGTGGGCACTACCACAAACAAGCGTGAGCTAGAAGTGAGCATGTGTTAGTGTACCTAATTCATTTTGCATGCTGTCGTGTTCTCATCGCTGCGCTCTCGCTTGTATATGTACACTCAACGCTTACGCTCTTTTAGCACCTGCTAACTCTCTGCCCATGCCTGCTCATGAGGCTAGTGAAATTTTTGGCAAGTGCATAGAAAATTTTGATAATCGCAAAGATTGTTGCTGTGTGTAATTTTTCGTAAAACAAAAGCTTAAATTGATGAAATGCAATCAGTGATGGTAGATGTTTTCTTAAAATATTAATTTCACTTCAATTTTTAATAGTTTATTCCGAATAAATCTGCGGTTATCAAAAATTTACTGCTGTCAGAAAAGATTTCATTTCACACAGCAGATTGGCAAAAACTGTCTCACCATAGTAAAAATATTATTCAAAAGCTTTCCCCATAGAACTATGTTACCCGATTCACACACGCAGATTTTAAACGAACGCACCTAAAATGTGTGTCACAGGAAAGCAATTCATTTAATTTTGATCTTTCTGGTAGCCCAGTTAGAGTGACCAAGTCTTATCATACGTGAAAAAATATGACAATCTACTCCTTTGTTTATCAATTTGCAAGGTGCAAATTTTCGGAAGAATAAGTGTATCTATAAAACATGAGTTTCAAAGCCATTTACGTCACAGTGGGCACTACCAGATTCGACGAACTTGTTGAAGAAGTTGTATCCGCTCAAGTTTTGAGAACTCTACAGCAGCGAGGATGTCGAAACTTAATCATACAGTACGGTCATGGTAGGCCAGTGCAAAATACCGACAACATTCGTAAAGCATATGGAATTTCTATAGCACAATACGCCTTCAAGCTCGAAACTCCAAGAACTGATATTCTGAATGCCGACTTGATAATAGGCCACGCGGGAGCTGGAACTTGCATGGATATACTTAATCACGCACGACCTGGTATTATAGTGATTAACGATAGACTAATGGACAATCATCAAAAAGAACTAGCAGAACAGCTAAGCGAAGAAGGATACTTATTTTATTGCAGAGTACAGGGTCTTGCTAAAACCATTGAACAAGCCGATGTAACTAAGTTAAAACCATATGAAAATCGTAATAATATGCACACCTTTGTCAGGTACTTAAATGAGATGATGACAGCGTAGTTTGTTAGTACTTGTCATAAAGTATATGTATAAAATTAGATTAGAATTGGTGTTTATATGATTTTTATTATTGATAAATGTGAAACACGAAAAATATGTTTAGTTTCCAAAGACTACAATAAAATTACAAAATGATAAAAAGCATTCCCATTTAGTCTTCTATGTACTCGAATGGCTCTGGAGGCTCGGGTTCCTTAGCTTCATCGTTTTTGGGCCCATAAGCAGCTACAGGTTCAACTAGTTCCTGTTCAGCAGATTTGCCTGTGTGTTGCAATACAATAATACCACCTATGGTAACATCCTTCAGCGGTATGAAAGCCTGTGCTTCAGCCACGCTAATGACCTTGAGTTGTTGACGGACAACACGAGCGGGATTTTGCAAGATCTCAAAATTCGGTTCAGGTTCTTTCTTGTCCTTCTTTTCTTTTTCTTTCTCTTTTTCCTTGTCCTTTTCTTTTTCATCTTTCTTCTTTTCGCCGGCTTCCTTATCTTTCTCCTTCTCTTTATCATCGTCTTTTTTCTTTTCTTTCTCCTCTTTCTTTTTCTTATCTTCTTTTTTCTCTACTTTCTCGTCTACATCCATTTTTTTATCGTCTTTCTTTGAGTCTTTGCTGTCCTCATCTACATCCATCTTGTTATCTTCTTCCTTCTTATCAGCGATTTCGCGTCTCTTTTGGCGTGCAGCTATTGAGAGAACAGCGGTGGCCACTTTCTCACGCTCCTCTGATTTCTTTTCTTCCAACGGTGCTGGATAAGCATAGAGAGATGGTTTAGCTGCGGATTTAAACTCCATCTTTGGCATCTTCAGATCAGAGTTCAAACCAATAACGCAAGTTGGAGTAAATGCCAACGAAAGCGAATGTGCCAATGGGAACCAATACCAGTACTGGGTGAATACGAGCATTCCTACAACGGCTTGCAAATTTGTGTGCCCAGTGCGTGATTGCAAGGAAAGTGTAGCATTGCGCCCGCCCCCATCAATTATACCTACGGGATATAATTATCATCACTTTGTTATTAAAATAACTAAGAAATCTTGACTTTTACTCACCCTGGGCGAGGATGGCTCCAAACTTTGCCATTACATCTTCGTGTTTATTGCTAATCACTTCGGCATAAAGTTGACGGAAGAAAGTCGTTTTCGGGCATGTTTGGTCAGTATGTTGTATTATAATCATAGCAGAGGCAATGAGCGCACCTTGGCGCACAAAATTCACCGGATCAAATTTAACCATGGGTTCCAGGAGAGCGATTGCCTCGCGCAGACCTGTGCCAGCACAGGCAATACCCAAAGCCATAGCCGCGCCATAGCGAACGTGTGGATTGTAAGACTCAGCGAGTAAGCTTACAACGGAGGGACATTGTTCAGGTGTACGGAAAAGTATGAAACCAATTGCGGTAACCGCAGCCCGCCGTACATCATCGTTTACATCGGAAACTGCGACATGCAAAAGTCTGCGGATAGCTTTGTTGCTACCAGAACCGTTGTAAGCCATAGCAATGGTGTACATGCCAGAGCGTCGTAGAACAGGATCTTTGTCAGTGGACAAACTGGTAACCAAAGGATCGGCTTCTTCAAGGCGGGCAAACATAGTCAATGAAATACCAACAGCTAATCCACGTAGAATTTTCTCGTGCTGTGTTTCCTGGGCATAAGACACCATATCCTCGATTGCTTGTGCATTTTTAGAGCCCAACATAACCATACCCATGGCAATGCCGGCGGCTTCGCCAGTAACAGCATCATCTTGGTACAAATTGAACTTGAGTTGCTCATATAAGTCTTGACGATGAGTGCCCATTGCCGCTAAACCTAATCCCAAGCAGCCCCCATGACGTACATTCTCGTTTTGAGCATCCTTCAACTGCTGCAAAAGATAGTCGATGATGTTGGCACCATGATTGGCGTGAATCAGGCCTAGGGCATATAGACCACCTCCTTCAGAATAGCCCGAGCTAGGTCCGGTCTCTTTTGGTAAGTAACTTTGCATAAGACCCAAAGAGTCTTTCTCGTGTCCGCGGTGGATAACACCCAAGGAAGCAGTAGCAGTCAATTTTGCCCAGTTTGTGGCTCTCGCCAGCCAATCCAGATTATCGCGTAAAAATTGATCCGATGTTGTACCAGCATGCATGAATGCGTTTGCAATTACAGTAGCAGTGTGACAAATAGATACACGCACTGCTTCTTTTGTGCCTCGCAGAATTTGCAGGTCAGCATGATTACTGCGGATTAAGAACTGCAGTTGAAGATCAATGGTTATTTCGCCGGACAAAATAGAAATGAGCTTTTCAATATTTTTCTGGTGAGCCTTCTCTGAGTCGTTCAATGAATCGATAGTCCTCTCAATTTTAGTATCACCTATTAAACGAAATCGATGGGAATTTGTGTTATAGGTATAGATAAATTAATGAATATGAGCGTACATGAATGAGTACCTTTGTGTTATTATGGAATAGTAGCTTATGCCACGAAGCTCGCTTTAGTAGAATGCGGCATTCCTTTTACTTAATAAGAATATTGATTTGCTGGTATCGGAACTATTTCTTGCGCGTTTATTTGCCAAAAGTTCTTCAACGGCTCGGCGGCAGTGAGTCATTCGCAATCGTATGCTGCGAATGCTGCATTATACTAAAGCCAGCCTTTCGTCATAAGCTAATATTCGGTACGAACACAGATATATAAATACATAGGAAAAAAGCAATTAAATAAGCAACCAATGTAATTGGCAGGATTTGTTATAGGTCTTAAAAGACGGTCAATAAAAAAATAAATAAAAATAAAAAAATTAATTGTAATATTTACCCTCAGCATCTCCAGATGAATCTTCTGTGGGCTTAGGTTTTTCATCGGTAGGTGATTTCGATGCCTCGTCACTGGTAGATTCGTTTGTGCCTTGTGGTTTGAAGGTCGACGGCAATGCTGTTGGAATGGGTGCTGTTTCTTTAAGAGCTTGAAGAACTTTACCTAAAAATTCTTGTGTAGCCGATTCATATAAATCAAAAGCAATCTGGTATGCCATTAAATTA